GCTGCAGTGCCTCAAATATTGGAAGAAGTCACCCCCTGTGAGTGGCTGGCTGAGGTGCCATCTGTTCAGGAAGTACTGAAGGCAATCCGGAGTCTGAGACCAGGAAAGGCAGCGGGCAGAGATGATCTCCCAAGCGAAATGCTGAGGGAGGGTGGCGTTTGTGCACAGACTGCCCTATATGACATCATAACAACAGTCTGGACCAATGGACGGGTTCCGCAGGATTGGAAGGATGCCCTGGCGGTCCCCCTCTTTAAGAAGGGGGACCGCACAGACTGTAACAACTACAGGGGCATCTCACTCCTCAGTGTGCCGGGAAAGGTCCTGGCAAGGATTATTGAGCATCGCCTTGCCAGGCATGCTGAGGGGAGGCTTGCGGAGCCCCAATGCGGTTTCAGGAAAGGGCGGTCCTGCACAGATGCCATATTTTCTGTCCATTTGTTAAAGCAGAGGTGTAGGGAATTCCAACAAGACCTACATCTCTGCTTTATTGACCTGGTCAAGGCCTATGATACCATCAGCAGGCCTGGGCTCTGGGTTGTTCTTCGTTCTTTTGGAGTACCTGACCCTCTGCTCACGATCATTAAGGACCTTCATGATGGTGAGCGGGCCCGGGTAAAACTACGTGGCCGGGAGTCAGAGCCATTCCCTGTACACCTTGGGGTGCGACATGGATGTCTTCTGGCTTCCACATTATTTAACATCTATTTTGACCACGTAGTTCGTGAAGCCTTCAATAGCTGTATATGGTTCAGATATAATGGGAGGCTAATCGACGCCCGGGTGCGGTCAAAGGATGGCTCCCTATTGCTCAACCACGTTATGTATGCTGATGATTTGGTAATAGCTGCTCATTCAGAGGAGGAGTTGGAGACGCTGCTGCTGAGACTGGAGCGTGCCACTAAGAGGTGGGGCCTTACCATCAGCCCCACCAAAACTAAGCACCTGCCTGGGTATTTTGTACCATCGGACACTCCACCCCCACAACTCCCAATCAGTGATGGGGCAGTTGTGGAGAGAGTGGAGAGTTTCCCATACCTGGGCAGTGTGCTTATGACCGGCTCCAGTTTAACAGCAGAGGTCTAACTCCGAATCAGTCGAGCGGAAAAATATTTTCATCGGTTGCGTAACGCTGTGTGGAAGCTACCTGGTCTGTCGCTCCGCACTAATCTTCAGGTCTTCTCGGCCACGGTCATTCCCTCCGTTCTCTACGCTTGCGAAATGTGGACCCCCCTAATGGAACATCTTCGCCGGTTAGAAACATTTAGGCTGGCCTGCCTACGATCCATCCTGGGTTTAACCAGACTGGATTGTGTGAGGAGCTCACAAATCCTCGAAAGATCTGGGCAGGGTCCCATCGGTGAGCTCCTCCGGCAGGCAAGGCTGCGATGGCTGGGTCATGTAGCCCGCATGCCCAGCCACCGCATGCCGAAACAGCTTTTGTTTGGCCGGATTGAGGGGGCTAAGCGGGCGCGGCACGGGCTAGAGAGGAGATGGAGTGATGTCGTACAGGAGGACGTGGAGCTGAGTGGACTTGCCGATGACTGGTACCAGCGGTGTCAAGATCGGCCTCTGTGGAGGAGGCTCGTGAAGGATGCTACTGAGCAGTTGGAGGCAGTCGCCCTCCAACAACAACGGAGGGCGGAGGTGCGATGCTCAGAACAACGAGCGGAGAGCCGGGTGGCTAAAGCACAGCAGGTTGGCACAGTAGGGGGCACAGGTGGTGTATCAGCCAGTCATCTCAGTCAGTCGACCCGTGGCACCTTGGTCTGCCCCGTGACCTCCTGCCAGCGGGCGTTCGACACTTCACGTGGCCTCAGGGTGCACATAGCCTGGCACAAGCGTCGTGGTGACGTCACCGCCACTTAGTGGCGAATGGCGGTTGTTGTTGTATGAGTGGGTGAGTGTGTGAGTGAGTGGGTGAGTGAGTGTGTGAGTAGATGAGTGTGTGAGTGTGTGTGTGAGTGAGTGGGTGAGTGTGTGAGTGAGTGGGTGAGTGAGTGTGCGAGTGAGTGGGTGGGTGAGTGAGTGGGTGTGTGAGTGAGTGAGTGGATGAGTGAGTGAGTGTGTGAGTGAGTGGGTGTGTGAGTGAGCGAGTGGGTGTGTGAGGGAGTGTGTGAGTGTGTGAGTGAGTGGGTGTGTGAGTGAGTGTGTGTGTGAGTGAGTGCGTGTGTGAGTGCGTGTGTGAGTGAGTGAGTGTGTGAGTGAGTGAGTGTGTGAGTGGGTGAGTGAGTGGGTGAGTGTGTGAGTGAGTGGGTGAGTGTGTGAGTGTCTGAGTGTGAGTGGATGGGTGAGTGTGTGAGTGAGTGTGTGAGTGGGTGAGTGAGTGAGTGAGCGAGTGAATGGGTGAGTGTGTGAGTGTGTGTGAGTGAGTGAGTGTGAGTGTGTGAGTGAGTGGGTGAGTGTGTGAGTGAGTGGGTGAGTGAGTGTGTGAGTGAGTGGGTGGGTGAGTGAGTGGGTGAGTGAGTGTGTGAGTGGATGAGTGTGTGAGTGTGTGTGTGAGTGAGTGGGTGAGTGTGTGAGTGAGTGGGTGAGTGAGTGTGCGAGTGAGTGGGTGGGTGAGTGAGTGGGTGTGTGAGTGAGTGAGTGGATGAGTGAGTGTGTGAGTGAGTGAGTGGGTGTGTGAGTGAGCGAGTGGGTGTGTGAGGGAGTGTGTGAGTGTGTGAGTGAGTGAGTGGGTGTGTGAGTGAGTGTGTGTGTGAGTGAGTGCGTGTGTGAGTGCGTGTGTGAGTGAGTGTGTGAGTGAGTGAGTGTGTGAGTGGGTGAGTGAGTGAGTGGGTGAGTGTGTGAGTGAGTGGGTGAGTGTGTGAGTGTCTGAGTGTGAGTGGATGGGTGAGTGTGTGAGTGAGTGTGTGAGTGGGTGAGTGAGTGAGTGAGCGAGTGAATGGGTGAGTGTGTGAGTGTGTGTGAGTGAGTGAGTGTGTGAGTGAGTGGGTGAGTGTGTGAGTGAGTGGGTGAGTAAGTGAGTGTGTGAGTGAGTGGGTGGGTGAGTGAGTGAGTGGGTGTGTGAGTGAGTGGGTGAGTGAGTGAGTGTGTGAGTGAGTGTGTGAGTGAGTGAGTGGGTGTGTGAGTGAGCGAGTGGGTGTGTGAGCGAGTGAGTGAGTGAGTGTCTGAGTGAGTGAGTGTGTGAGTGCGTGTGTGAGTGTGTGAGTGAGTGTGTGAGTGTGTGAGTGAGTGGGTGAGTGTGTGAGTGAGTGAGTGGGTGAGTGAGTGAGTGCGTGGGTGAGTGAGTGTGTGTATGAGTGTGTGAGTGGGTGGGTGAGTGTGTGAGTGAGTGTGTGAGTGAGTGTGTGAGTGAGTGGGTGAGTGTGTGAGTGTCTGAGTGTGTGAGTGGATGGATGAGTGAGTGAGTGTGTGAGTGTGTGAGTGAGTGTGTGTGAGTGAGTGGGTGAGTGAGTGTATGAGTGAGTGAGTGTGTGTGAGTGTGTGTGTGAGTGTGTGAGTGAGTGTGTGAGTGAGTGAGTGGGTGAGTGAGTGTGTAAGTGAGTGTGTGAGTGAGTGGGTGAGTGTGTGTGAGTGAGTGTGTGAGTGAGTGTGTGAGTGTGTGAGTGAGTGTGTGAGTGAGTGTGTGAGTGAGTGTGTGAGTGTGTGAGTGAGTGAGTGTATGAGTGTGTGTGTGAGTGAGTGTGTGAGTGTGTGAGTGAGTGTGTGGGTGAGTGAGTGTGTGAGTGGGTGAGTGAGTGAGTGTGTGAGTGAGTGTGTGTGAGTGTGTGTGAGTGAGTATGTGTGTATGTGTGTGAGTGAGTGTGTGTGTGAGTGTGTGAGTGAGTGAGTGTGTGAGTGTGTGGGTGTGTGAGTGAGTGGGTGTGTGTGTGAGTGGGTGAGTGTGTGAGTGAGTGTGTGTGAGTGAGTGTGATTGAGTGTGTCTGTGAGTGAGTGTGTGAGTGTGTGGGTGTGTGAGTGAGTGGGTGAGTGTTTGAGTGTGTGTGTGAGTGTGTGAGTGTGTATGTGTGTGAGTGTGTGAGTGAGTGTGTGAGTGAGTGTGTGAGTGAGTGTGTGAGTGTGTGTGTGAGTGTGTGTGTGAGTGGGTGAGTGAGTGGGTGAGTGAGTGGGTGAGTGAATGAGTGTATGTGTGTGTGTTTGTCTTTTGTGAGTATTTGTGTGATTGTGTGTGTGAGTGGGTGGGTGAGTGTGTGAGTGGGTGGGTGGGTGAGTGTGTGAGTGGGTGTGTGAGTGAGTGTGTGTGTGAGTGTGTATGTGTGTGAGTGTGTGAGTGAGTGTGTGAGTGAGTGTGTGTGTGAGTGGGTGAGTGAGTGGGTGAGTGAGTGAGTGTATGTGTGTATGTGTGTGAGTGAGTGTGTGTGAGTATTTGTGTGAGTGTGAGTGAGTGGGTGAGTGAGTGAGTGTATCTGAGTGAGTGTGTGTGAGTATGTGTGTGAGTGTGTGAGTGGGTGGGTGTGTGAGTGGGTGGGTGTGTGAGTGGGTGGGTGGATGTGTGAGTGGATGGGTGGGTGGGTGTGTGAGTGGGTGGGTGTGTGAGTGGGTGGGTGGGTGTGTGAGTGGGTGGGTGGGTGTGTGAGTGGGTGGGTGGGTGTGTGAGTGGGTGGGTGGGTGGGTGTGTGAGTGGGTGGGTGGGTGTGTGAGTGGGTGGGTGTGTGAGTGGGTGGGTGGGTGTGTGAGTGGGTGGGTGGATGTGTGAGTGGGTGGGTGTGTGAGTGGGTGGGTGGGTGTGTGAGTGGGTGGGTGGGTGAGTGAGTGGGTGGGTGTGTGAGTGGGTGGGTGGGTGTGTGAGTGGGTGGGTGGGTGAGTGGGTGGGTGTGTGAGTGGGTAGGTGGATATGTGAGTGGGTGGGTGTGTGAGTGAGTGTGTGAGTGAGTGGGTGAGTGAGTGGGTGAGTGAGTGAGTGTGTGAGTGAGTGGGTGGGTGAGTGGGTGGGTGGATGGGTGGGTGTGTGAGTGGGTGGGTGTGTGAGCGGGTGGGTGGGTGTGTGAGTGGGTGGGTGTGTGAGTGGGTGGGTGGATGTGTGAGTGGGTGAGTGAGTGTGTGGGTTAAGGGTCGTGGGGGTGGAAGGAGGCGGAGGAAGGCGTGGCGTGGTGACCCGGAAGCTGTCTCGCGCGCTGCACTCTGGGCCATTTCTTCTTCCCAGGACACGTGGTGTGTCAGTCCCGTCGCAGAGTTCCGACGTTTCGCTTCCTCCTCCTCGACCTCTACTCGACTCAGTCGCCATGGCAGAAGTCGTTGACCGGTTCAAGAACCGGTTACAGCAGCAGGTGAGGGTCTCTATGTGTTGTGAGTCTGTGGGTCTCTGTGTGGTGAGTCTGTGGGTCTCTGTGTGGTGAGTCTGTGGGTCTCTGTGTGGTGAGTCTGTGGGTCTCTGTGTGGTGAGTCTGTGGGTCTCTGTGTGGTGAGTCTGTAGGTCTCTGTGTGGTGAGTCTGTGGGTCTCTGTGTGGTGAGTCTGTGGGTCTCTGTGTGGTGAGTCTGTGGGTCTCTGTGTGGTGAGTCTGTGGGTCTCTGTGTGGTGAGTCTGTGGGTCTCTGTGTAGTGAGTCTTTGGTTCTCTGTGTGCTGAGTCTTTGGGTCTCTGTGTGGTGAGTCTGTGGGTCTCTGTGTGGTGAGTCTTTGGGTCTCTGTGTGGTGAGTCTTTGGGTCTCTGTGTGGTGAGTCTGTGGGTCTCTGTGTGGTGAGTCTGTGGGTCTCTGTGTGGTGAGTCTGTGGGTCTCTGCGTGGTGAGTCTGTGGGTCTCTGCGTGGTGAGTCTGTGGGTCTCTGTGTGAGTCTATGGGTCTCTGTGTGCTGAGTCTGTGGGTCTCTGCGTGGTGAGTCTGACTCATTCACCTACTCACCCACTGATTGACTGGTCGACTCACCCGCCCACTCACTCACCCACCCACTCACCCACCCACTCACCCACTGACTGACTGACTGGTCGACTCACCCACTCACCCACTGACTGACTAACCCACCCACTCACCCACTGACTGACTGGTCGACTCACCCACTCGCCCACTGACTGACTAACCCACCCACTCACCCACTGACTGACTGGTCGACTCACCCGCCCACTCACTCACTCACCCACCCACCCACCTACTCACCCACCCACTCACCCACTGACTGACTGGTCGACTCACCCGCCCACTCACTCACTCACCCACCCACCCACCTACTCACCCACCCACTCACCCACTGACTGACTGGTCGACTCACCCGCCCACTCACTCACTCACCCACCCACCCACCTACTCACTCACCCACTCACCCACTGACTGACTAACCCACCCACTCACCCACTGACTGACTGGTCGACTCACCCACTCACCCACTGACTGACTGGTCGACTCACCCACTCACCCACTGACTGACTGGTCGACTCACCCGCCCACTCACTCACTCACCCACCCACCCACCTACTCACCCACCCACTCACCCACTGACTGACTGGTCGACTCACCCGCCCACTCACTCACTCACCCACCCACCCACCTACTCACTCACCCACTCACCCACTGACTGACTAACCCACCCACTCACCCACTGACTGACTGGTCGACTCACCCACTCACCCACTGACTGACTGGTCGACTCACCCACTCACCCACTGACTGACTGGTCGACTCTCCCGCCCGCCCACTGTCGTCAGGATCTGGAGATCAGCCGTCTCTCGGCCGAGGTGTTGTCTCTGCGTGGGGCCGTGGTGGACGCCGGCGGCGCCTCCGGGTCGACCTGTGCTCCTCCTGGGGTGGAGCGTCTCCGCGAGGAGAACGGGAAGCTGCTGTACCGCCTCCGCCACCTCAAGCGGGTGAGAGGCACCGCGGTTGGCTGCTGTGCCAGGCTAGGTGCACGAGGAGGAGGGCACGGGACAGACCCAGCAGGTGCCATGGGTTGACTGCTGTGCCAGGCTAGGTGCAGGAGGTCACGTGACAGACTCAGCAGGTGCCATGGGTTGACTGCTGTGCCAGGCTAGGTGCACGAGGAGGTCACGGGACAGACCCAGCAGGTGCCATGGGTTGACTGCTGTGCCAGGCTAGGTGCAGGAGGTCACGTGACAGATTCAGCAGGTGCCATGGGTTGACTGCTGTGCCAGGCTAGGTGCAGGAGGTCACGTGACAGATTCAGCAGGTGCCATGGGTTGACTGCTGTGCCAGGCTAGGTGCACGAGGAGGTCACGGGACAGACCCAGCAGGTGCCATGGGTTGACTGCTGTGCCAGGCTAGGTGCACACAGGGGCATGGGCTCAGGGCTTGAGCCCTGGGTCTGGGTGTCTCTCTCCGTCTCTCTCAGTGGGTTCATAATGGCACTGAGAACCTGGGTTGGAGGTTTGATGCCTGGGTCACCACCAACACATTCACAACCACGCCACCATCGGTTTTATTGACATCGTCAGCACCACCACTGACTCACAAAGACTCACTCACTCGTCCACCCACCCACTCATTCACCCACCCACTCACCTACCCACTCACCCACCCACCCACTCATCCACCCACCCACTCACCCACCCACCCACTCATCCACCCACCCACTCCTCCATCCACTCACTCACTCACTCACCCGTCCACCCACTCATTCACCCACTCACCCACCCACCAACTCACTCACCCACTCACCCACCCACTCACCCACTCATCCACCCACCCACCCACTCACCCACCCACTCACTCATTCACCCACTCATCCACTCACCCACCCACCAGCTCACCCACCCACCAGCTCACCCACTCACTCACCCACTCATCCACCCACCCACCCACCCGCTCACCCACTCACTCACCCACTCACCCACCCACCATCAACTTGCAGTTTAACCTCTGACTTCCCTCCGCAGTGCCTGAGCGACGAGGTGATGAAGCAACGGCCTCAGCCAATCTCCTCCACCTCCTCCTCCACCTCCTCGTCCTCCGCCACCTCCTCCTCCACCTCCTCCTCGTCCCCGGCCACCGGCCCCCGCGGCGACCGCGATGGTGGCGACGGTGCCGACGTGGACGGGGGGATGGTGAACGTCGCCGCCCGGCTCTGCACTGCGTTTGCGAGCGCTGTGAGCGCCGCTTTCCCCGGCCTCGCCGTGCCGCCGGTAGCCATCGCTCCCTCGAAGCCGCAGCAGCAGCAGCAGCAGCAGCAGCGGATCGCCGATTACCAGTGTAACAGCGCCATGGCCATCGCGCAGGTCAGCCGCGATCATCGCGGTGTGGTCACGCGGAGAGACGCAGACTCACCATAGAGACCCATAGACTCACAACACAGAGACCCACAGACTCACCACACAGAGACCCACAGACTCAGCACACAGAGACCCACAGACTCACCACACAGAGACCCACAGACTCACCACACAGAGACCCACAGACTCACCACACAGAGACCCATAAGACTCATCACACAGAGACCCACAGACTCACAACACGCAGAGACCCACAGACTCACAACACAGAGACCCACAGACTCAGCACACAGAGACCCACAGACTCACAACACGCAGAGACCCACAGACTCAGCACACAGAGACCCACAGACTCACCACACAGAGACCCACAGACTCACAACACGCAGAGACCCACAGACTCACAACACAGAGACCCACAGACTCAGCACACAGAGACCCACAGACTCACAACACGCAGAGACCCACAGACTCAGCACACAGAGACCCACAGACTCACCACACAGAGACCCACAGACTCACAACACGCAGAGACCCACAGACTCAGCACACAGAGACCCACAGACTCACCACACAGAGACCCACAGACTCACAACACGCGGAGACTCATAGAATCACCATAGAGAGGCCGACAGACTCACCATAGAGACCCATAGACTCAGCACGCAGAGACCCATAGACTCACAACACGCGGAGACTCATAGACTCACCATAGAGAGACCCACAGACTCATCACACAGAGACCCACAGACTCATCACACAGAGACCCACAGACTCATCACACAGAGACCCACAGACTCACAACACAGAGACCCACAGACTCGGCACACAGAGACCCACAGACTCACCACACAGAGACCCACAGACTCACAACACAGAGACCCATAGACTCGGCACACAGAGACTCACAGACTCACAACACAGAGACCCATAGACTCACCATAGAGACCCATAGACTCACCACACAGAGACCCACAGACTCAGCACACAGAGACCCACAGACTCAGCACACAGAGACCCACAGACTCACAACACAGAGACCCACAGACTCACCATAGAGACCCACAGACTCACAACACAGAGAGACACAGACTCACCATAGAGACCCACAGACTCAGCACACAGAGACCCACAGACTCAGCACACAGAGACCCATAGACTCAGCACACAGAGACCCATAGACTCAGCACACAGAGACCCACAGACTCACAACACAGAGAGACCCACAGACTCAGCACACAGAGACCCACAGACTCACCATAGAGACCCATAGACTCAGCACACAGAGACCCACAGACTCACCATAGAGACCCATAGACTCAGCACACAGAGACCCACAGACTCAGCACACAGAGACCCACAGACTCACCATAGAGACCCACAGACTCAGCACACAGAGACCCACAGACTCACCACACAGAGACCCACAGACTCACCACACAGAGACCCACAGACTCACCACACAGAGACCCACAGACTCACAACGCAGAGACCCACAGACTCAGCACACAGAGACTCACAGACTCACCACACAGAGACCCACAGACTCAGCACACAGAGACCCACAGACTCACCACACAGAGACCCACAGACTCAGCACACAGAGACCCACAGACTCAGCACACAGAGACCCACAGACTCACCACACAGAGAGACACAGACTCACCACACAGAGACCCACAGACTCACAACACACAGAGACCCACAGACTCAGCACACAGAGACCCACAGACTCACCATAGAGACCCATAGACTCAGCACACAGAGACCCACAGACTCAGCACACAGAGACCCACAGACTCAGCACACAGAGACCCATAGACTCAGCACACAGAGACCCACAGACTCACCACACAGAGACCCACAGACTCACCACACAGAGACCCACAGACTCACCACACAGAGACCCACAGACTCACCACACAGAGACCCACAGACTCACCACACAGAGACCCACAGACTCACCACACAGAGACCCACAGACTCACCACACAGAGACCCACAGACTCACAACACAGTGACCCACAGACTCACCACACAGAGACCCACAGACTCACAACACAGAGACCCACAGACTCACCACACATAGACCCACAGACTCACCACACAGAGACCCACAGACTCACCACACAGAGACCCACAGACTCACAACACAGAGACCCACAGACTCACCACACAGAGACCCACAGACTCACCACACAGAAACCCACAGACTCAGCACATAGAGACCCACAGACTCAGCACACAGAGACCCACAGACTCACCACACAGAGACCCACAGACTCAGCACAGGCTCATCACACAGAGGCCCACAGACTCAGCACACAGAGACCCACAGACTCACCACACAGAGACCCACAGACTCAGCACACAGAGACCCACAGACTCAGCACATAGAGACCCACAGACTAACCATAGAGACCCATAGACTCACCACACAGAGACCCATAGACTCAGCACACAGAGACCCACAGACTCACCACACAGAGACCCACAGACTCACCACACAGAGACCCACTGACTCACCACACAGAGACCCACAGACTCAGCACACAGAGACCTACAGACTCACCACGCAGAGACCCACAGACTCACCACACAGAGACCCACAGACTCACCACACAGACCCACAGACTCACCACACAGAGACCCACAGACTCAGCACACAGAGACCCACAGACTCAGCACACAGAGACCCACAGACTCAGCACACAGAGACCCACAGACTCAGCACACAGAGACCCATAGACTCATCACACAGAGACCCACAGACTCACCACACAGAGACCCACAGACTCATCACACAGAGACCCACAGACTCACCACACAGAGACCAACAGACTCACCACACAGAGACCCACAGACTTACCACACAGAGACCCACAGACTCAGCACATAGAGACCCACAGACTCACCACACAGAGACCCATCTGAGTGACAGCGTGAATTTGGCCTCTGACCTCTGACCCCTGACCCCCCAGCTGCTGAAGGCTAAAGGTCAGAAGGTCAGCCCCAAGGACGTGGGGGCGGCCATCGTGAGCCACCTCCCGGCCAGCGACCTCGTGGAGCACGTGGAGGTCGTGGGGCCAGGTCACTCACAAACTACTCACCACTACTCACCACTCACTCACCACTACTCACCACTCACCCACTCACCCACCCACTCACTCACCCACTCACTCTATCACTCACTCTATCACTCACTCACCCACTCACCCACTCACTCACCCACTCACCCACTCACCCACCCACTCACTCACCCACTCACTCTATCACTCACTCACCCACTCACCCACTCACTCACCCACTCAGTCACTCAATCACCCACTCACTCTACCACTACTCACCACTACTGACCACTCACTCACTCACTCACCACTCACCCACTCACCCACCCACTCAATCACCCACTCACTCACTCAATCACCCACTCACTCTACCACTACTCACCACTACTCACCACTACTCACCCACTCACCACTCACCCACTCACTCACTCACTCACCACTCACCCACTCACCCACCCACTCACTCACCCCTCACTCTACCACTCACTCACTCAATCACCCACTCACTCACTCAATCACCCACTCACTCTACCACTACTCACCACTACTCACCCACTCACTCACCCACTCACTCTACCACTACTCACCACTACTCACTCACCACTACTCACCACTACTCACCCACTCACCCACTCACTCACCACTACTCACTACTACTCACCACTACTCACTGCTCACTCACCCACTCACCACTCACTCACCACTCACTCACCACTCACGCACCATTACTCACCACTACTCACCACTCACTCACCACTCACTCACCCACTCACCCACCCACTCACTCACTCACCCACTCACTCTACCACTCACTCACTCAATCACCCACTCACTCACCACTCACTCACCCACTCACTCACTCACTCACCCACTCACTCACTCACTCACCACTCACTCACCACTACTCACCACTACTCACCACTCACCACTCATCCACCCACTCACTCACTCTACCACTCACTCACTCAATCACTCACCACTCACCCACTCACTCACTCAATCACCCACTCACTCACCACTACTCACCACTACTCACTCACCACTCACTCACTCACTCACCACTCACCCACCCACTCACTCACTCACCCACTCACACTACCACTCACTCACTCAATCACCACTCACTCACTCACCCACTCACTCACCCACTCACTCACCACTCACTCACCACTCACTCACTCACTCACCCACTCACCCACCCACTCACTCACTCCCCCACTCACTCACTCACCCACTCACTCAATCACTCACCACTACTCACTTACTCACCACTACTCACCACTCACTCACTCACCCACTCACTCACTCACCCACTCACCCACTCACTCACCCACTCACTCACCACTACTCACCACTCACTCACTCAATCACCCACTCACTCACCCACTCACTCACTCACCGCTCGCTCACCACTCACCACTCGCTCACCACTCACCACTTGCTCACCACTTGTTCACCAGTCGCTCACCACTCACTCACTACTCCCCACTCACCACTCGCTTACCACTCACTCACCACTCACTCACCACTCGCTCACCCACCCACTCACTCACCCACTCACCCACCCACTTACTCACCCACTCACTCACTCACTCACCCATTTACCCACCCACTCACTCACCACTCACTCACCACTCACTCACCACTCATCACTCACTCACTACTCACTCACCACTCACCACTCACCACTCGCTCACCCACCCACTCACCACTCACCACTCACTCACCACCCGCTCACCACTCACTCACCACTCACCACTCATCACTCACTCACCACTCACCACTCGCTCACCACTCACCACTTGCTCACCACTTGTTCACCAGTCGCTCACCACTCACTCACTACTCCCCACTCACCACTCGCTTACCACTCACTCACCACTCACTCACCACTCATCACTCACTCACCACTCGCTCACCACTCACCACTCACTCACCACTCGCTTACCACTCACTCACCACTCATCACTCACTCACCACTCGCTCACCACTCACCACTCACTCACCACTCGCTTACCACTCACTCACCACTCACTCACCACTCATCACTCACTCACCACTCGCTCACCACTCACCACTCACTCACCACTCACCACTCGCTCACCACTCACCACTCACTCACCACTCACCACTCACTCACCACTCGCTCACCACTCCACTCACCACTCGCTCACCACTCACCACTCACTCACCACTCACTCACCACTCACCACTCACTCACCACTCACTCACCACTCACCACTCACTCACCACTCACTCACCACTCACTCACCACTCACCACTCACTCACCACTCACCACTCACTCACCACTCACTCACCACTCACTCACCACTCACTCACTCACCACTCACCACTCACTCACCACTCACCACTCACTCACCACTCACCACTCACTCACCACTCACCACTCACTCACCACTCACCACTCGCTCACCACTCACCACTCACTCACCACTCACCACTCACTCACCACTCGCTCACCACTCACCACTCACTCACCACTCACCACTCGCTCACCACTCACCACTCACTCACCACTCACTCACCACTCACCACTCACTCACCACTCACTCACCACTCACCACTCACTCACCACTCACTCACCACTCACTCACCACTCACCACTCACTCACCACTCACCACTCACTCACCACTCACCACTCACTCACCACTCACCACTCACTCACTCACCACTCACCACTCACTCACCACTCACCACTCACTCACCACTCACTCACCACTCACTCACCACTCACCACTCACTCACTCACCACTCACCACTCACTCACCACTCACCACTCACTCACCACTCACTCACCACTCACTCACCACTCACTCACTCACCCACTCACCACTCACTCACTCACTCACTCACCACTCGCTCACCACTCACCACTCACTCACTCACTCACTCACCTCACTCACTCACCACTCACTCACTCACTCACCACTCACTCACTCACCACTCACTCACTCACCCACTCACTCACCACTCACCACTCACTCACCACTCACCACTCACTCACCACTCACTCACCACTCACCACTCACTCACCACTCACCACTCACTCACCACTCACCACTCACTCACTCACCACTCACCACCACTCACTCACCACTCACTCACTCACTCACCACTCACTCACCACTCACCACTCACTCACCACTCACTCACCACTCACTCACCACTCACTCACCACTCACTCACTCACCACTCACCACTCACTCACCACTCACTCACCACTCACTCACCACTCACTCACCACTCACTCACCACTCACTCACTCACCCACTCACCACTCACTCACCACTCACCACTCGCTCACCACTCACCACTCACTCACTCACCACTCACTCACCACTCACTCACCACTCACCACTCACCCACTCACCACTCACTCACTCACCACTCACCACTCACTCACCACTCACCACTCACTCACCACTCACCACTCACTCACCACTCACCACTCACTCACCACTCACCACTCGCTCACCACTCACCACTCACTCACCACTCACCACTCACTCACCACTCGCTCACCACTCACCACTCACTCACCACTCACCACTCGCTCACCACTCACCACTCACTCACCACTCACTCACCACTCACCACTCACTCACCACTCACTCACCACTCACCACTCACTCACCACTCACTCACCACTCACTCACCACTCACCACTCACTCACCACTCACCACTCACTCACCACTCACCACTCACTCACCACTCACCACTCACTCACTCACCACTCACCACTCACTCACCACTCACCACTCACTCACCACTCACCACTCACTCACTCACCACTCACCACTCACTCACCACTCACCACTCACTCACCACTCACTCACCACTCACTCACCACTCACTCATCACTCACTCACTCACCCACTCACCACTCACTCACCACTCACCACTCACTCACCACTCACCACTCACTCACTCACCACTCACTCACCACTCACCACTCACTCACTCACCACTCACCACTCACTCACCACTCACTCACTCACCCACTCACTCACCACTCACCACTCACTCACCACTCACCACTCACCACTCACTCACCACTCACCACTCACTCACCACTCACCACTCACTCACCACTCACCACTCACTCACCACTCACCACTCACTCACTCACCACTCACCACTCACTCACCACTCACCACTCACTCACCACTCACTCACCACTCACTCACCACTCACTCACCACTCACTCACTCACCACTCACCACTCACTCACCACTCACCACTCACTCACCACTCACTCACCACTCACTCACCACTCACTCACTCACCCACTCACCACTCACTCACCACTCACCACTCGCTCACCACTCACCACTCACTCACTCACCACTCACTCACCACTCACTCACCACTCACCACTCACTCACCACTCACCACTCACTCACCACTCACTCACTCACCACTCACTCACCACTCACCACTCACCACTCACTCACCACTCACTCACTCACCACTCACTCACCACTCACTCACCACTCACCACTCACTCACCACTCACCACTCACTCACTCACCACTCACCACTCACTCACCACTCACCACTCACTCACCACTCACTCACCACTCACTCACCATTCACTCACCACTCACTCACTCACCACTCACCACTCACTCACCACTCACCACTCGCTCACCACTCACCACTCACTCACTCACCACTCACTCACCACTCACTCACCACTCACCACTCACTCACCACTCACCACTCACTCACCACTCACTCACTCACCACTCACTCACCACTCACCACTCACCACTCACCACTCACTCACCACTCACTCACCACTCAATCACCACTCACTCACCACTCACTCACCACTCACTCACTCACCCACTCACTCACCACTCACCACTCACTCACCACTCACCACTCACCACTCACTCACCACTCACCACTCACTCACCACTCACCACTCACACACCACTCACCACTCACTCACCACTCACCACTCACTCACTCACCACTCACCACTCACTCACC